TCCTATAAAGAAACATCAATTGAGACAGATAAAACAAAAAAGAAAAAGAAATTAACTTATAATGAACTTGTTATTATGAATATTCTTAATGAATATTATAATAAATATGAAGATATTGGGCGTAATACTAAACTACTTTGCACGAAAAAATCAAAAAAGACGCTTACTAGTCAACAATATCAAGAACTTCCTTTAGTGAATAAAGATGGTGAAGTTATTGGTGTTTATAAGAATGAAGAAGTTTTAGAAAAAATTGGAACTCCAATATATAGTTTTCTTTGTTCATATTTATTAAAAACAAATACACCTCAATCAAAAGGTCTTTTTATTGGGAATAAAGACTATTATAATGAAATATCTAATAATAATATCAATGATCAAAATAACATTAAATTATCAAAAGAAGAGTTCTTAGAATATCCAATTTTTGATGAATATCAATTTAATTGTATTAATGACCATATTAGTTCTCAAGTATTAGAACATTATTCATATATTGGATCTGAGCCATTCCAACAATTAAATAAATACGCTGAAACTTTACAACAAGAATTGCAGATTAGCCATAGTGGTTCACCGGAAGATATTCTATCATATAACAACATAGACTCTCATTTTGGTGACCACCAGTACACACAGACTGATCATAATGTATCATTAATTAATGTAGATCCAAGGTTGGTGAATTTTGAGAATTCAAATTATAATGAAGCTATGCCACAAAATAATCCAGATGTTGTTGATATTAGTTGTTTCATAGCAATGGACGATTGTTTTCAAGAAGATTATCCATCAGAGACTTCCTTTATAGAACATGGGTTTATTCAAAATATATGCCATTATGAATAAATTCAATTTTTTAAACAATTTTTTGGTTGTTTTTATGAAGAAATTCAAATAATATTGAATTTGTTTTAATTTTTTTTTTTTGAAAGTTAATTAATGGAAAACAAAAGATATTAAATAATATGAACTAACTTATTTATAAAATTCTTCGAATAATAAGAAAAATAAAATCATAGTATAAAAATAATAAATGAACAGAATAACTATTGAACTGATTCATTAACAATGAGTATTCTTAATCTTTATTAGTGTAAAATAACAAATAGAATATAAAAGTATAAATCTAACAAATAAGAATATAGAAACAATAATGGAATAACAAATTATATTAATGAACATAAACTAGAAATGATGGTCTTTGATAGAATAAATAAAAGTGATAAAAGAAAATAATATTTACATTAGTCTTTAAATAAATACCATTATTTTCTACTGAATAAAGTTTTATTGTTATATCTAATTAAAATAAAATCAATTGATTAATGTTAAATAAGTTTTGATAAAATAATGAAAATAGTAACCAAATCAATTGTAAATGGCTTATAAAAATAATCATTAATAATACTACAATATGAGTGTCTCATAAACACTATTATTGACTATAATAAACAAATCATTAGTGTTAAAACTAACTCATTCTTTCAAATAAAAATAATGAATTAAATAAAATAAAGTTAATATAAAATGAAATTATATTAAATGATGAGTAATTAAATAGTAAAATAATTTCTAATTTCTTATTCAAATAATAAATTGAATTATAATAAAAATATTGATTCTGGTTCATTTTATTTAATTATGAAATATTTTTGTTCTACTATTATTTATGAAAATTACAATCAAATGAAATGATGATTATTGTTAAACTTCTCTTATTTTTCATCATTTGAAAAGTGTTAATAATAAGTATGTATAATAAAAAGTGAAATAATATCAATTAATTGATAAAAACAATATAAAAATATATGAATCAATAATAATTTAAAATAAAATAAATTTATATTGAAATATATAAAAATATTATCCATTTATCTTTGTATTTGAAATATATTATTAAAACTAAAATAAAAATAAAGAATAAAAATTTAATTATATTTGCTGTACTTAGATTGTTTATATATAACATTTACTTCATTACTCTTTTTGTTTTCTTTTAATAGATTTAAAAGAGTTTTGCAATAAATGTTATGTTATATAACTACAGTCTAAGTAAAGTAAATCACATCAAATATCTTATTCTTGTCATTTTTCTCTCACATTGACTGTGATTTTAAGTTTGATTCATCAATGTTAGGACATCCTGTTTGTTCAAATAGACTTGGAACCTGTGGGTTTAGTAAAAACATACCCTCCGTACAACAATTATTTGGTAGTACATTAACTGAACTCACATTGTGATAATAATCAGGTATTTGAACAATATTACTTAAATAATAATCAGGTATCTGAACAATATTACTTAAATAACAATCAGGTATTTGTTCTATTTGATTAAAATTTTCATTATCATAATTACTTTCTGAACAATATACTTTAAAATTACTAAATAATGGTGTAATAATAATATTAGGGTCAATCTCATTAATAACTTGTCTACATTCCTTTTTCTTTTTACCTTCTTCAATTCTAATTTCTTTAATAAGATATTTATTGACTTTTTCTCCAATTTCATATATTTCTTCTTGCCTTATTCCATTAAATGTTGATATCCTTTTTCTTTTAACCGTTTTACTACTTCCTCTTGTTTTCTTATAATTAATTTGGTTTCCATAATTACTTAATTCTTCAAGTAAAGTCTCATAATTAATATTTTGATATGACTTATCTTTATCTCTTTGTTCTACTTTCCCCTTTTTTTCTTGTATAAAATTTTCCCATTCTTTAAATCTTTTATTAATTTCTTCTTGAACCCTTTCATCACAAACAGAAATAATATTAAAATTTTGAAGCCCTTCATCATTCTTTGTTTTTCTTTCTAGTTCTAAACTAATACCACATCTTATTACACATCCAATAATAAAGCTTTTTTCTTTAATCTCATTAGAAACTGATTTTCTCTTCTTATCAGTTGATTCACTAATAGATTTAGTTGACTTCTTAATAATAGACATTGTAATGATATTAGTTAAATCTGAATTGGTCGTTTTTATACCCTCTTGAAATTTTATGTTTATTATTATTATTCTTTTTCTATTTTATTATAGTTTACTTTTAACTTAGCGTTTAAGAATTTAGATTTTCTAGTTCATGTTATTTTTTGGTTATTTATAGAAGAAAACGATATTTTATCATCAATTCTTTGAATAAAATTCTTCTTTTTATCAATTATTTCTTTCATGAATTGTTTGAATAACAAATTTCAAATTTTTTGGTTTAAAAATCATTAATTAACAACTTTAAAAATAACTAACAATTTAATATTTTCATCTTAGAAAATATCAAATTAAGTGTTATGACCAAATACCAGTCTTTGTTTTGATTATTACTCACTCTAATTTTCTTTAACCAACACTTACTCTGTTGAGAATATTCATTAAAAACTTTATTCATTGAGTAACCAAGTAATGAACAATCTAATCATAACTACAACATTACATTTTTCAATAAGTAACACCTGAATTCTTATTTAACAATAAAATAGGGTAAAAACACAAAGAGTGAATGGCAAATAACAATGCAAGCACACTAACTGTATAAAACAAATAATTCAAAATGACTTATAACATATATAGTTTATAACTATAACAGAACATATCATTTAATAAATACAACTTCATCACTAAAAACTGTTACTATGTGTGATTAGTGAATAAATTAATTATGCAGTTATGACAATGAGAAGACTATCAAAAAAAGAGAACTAATGGACTATCACAATTGAATTTTATGATTGTTGAGAAGTGATTATTTCACTGATTTCAGTTCTACTTCTACAATAAAGTTCATCCCATCATCTTCACATTAGAAAAATCTTTTTCTATTATGCCGTCACCCTTTCCTGTCTAGAAAATTATGTCTTTTCATTTTTTAATAATAATTGTTTGTGATATATTGTTCAAGTCAATTTGTAATTTGTAATTTGTAATTTTATTTTTTTCTTCTTCTTTCTTTTTGTATCTTTTTATTCTTATTATTATTACTGCTATTCTTTCTTCATTTTTATTATTTCTCTTTTTTTTTTTAACTTCTCTTGTATTTATTTCTATTTATTTATTTATTTCTTTTATGTAATTTATTTTATGTTTTTGTGTTGACATTTATCGACATCATTAATATATCATTTTTTTTTCTTTGATGTTTTTATGCTATCTGTCTTGTGTTCTAACATGAAATGAATTGTCATTAACTAATAAATCTTTATTGTACGTTATAACAGTTTCATCATTGTTAATACATTTATGATATGTGTTAAAATCTATTTCATCAAAATCATTGAAATGGGTAATTAATATATGTTTATATATTTGTTTACATACATAATCATGTTTTGATATTTGATTATTCTTCATTACAACATCCTAACAAAATGTGGCTAATAGATGGAATTGTGATAGGACAATCTTTACAATATTTTAAAGCATCACAATTGAGTATTTTAGATTTAATATTTCCTATCATAGTTACTCCTTCTTTCATTTTTACTACTTTGAGGAATACATTTCTTTTTATATTTAATGACATCCATGTGGCTACTGATAATTTCATATTATTAAATATATAATTTCTATTTCTTATATATTCACTACATTCTTTTCTTTAAATATCTTTCATTTATTTTATTTGTTACAAATTCAAATACCTTATTTTCATCATGCTTTCTTTCACTTAATTGTATTATATTCATTAATTCATTGAAATTAATTGTCTTACTAAATACTCTTTTCATTCTTTTAATATTTAATTTGATTCTCTTTTACTGCACCTATCATTTCTCATATTTCTTTGTTTAATATTTATATTTTAAATATATTCTTATTTCTTATTTGTTGTTGTCTTTTATTATGGTATTGTTTATATCTATGTTGTGTTTTATTTTGTGGTTTATTTGCATTATAATATTGATTGATTCTATTTGAATTATTGATAAAATACTTATGATGATGAAAATGATTGAAGTGATGAGTAAAACAATTCACATTATTATTATTATAACTGTTATGATAATTGTTATGGTGATAGATATTAATATGGTAATGATTAATGTGATGATTAATGTATTTCTGTCCATACAGATAATACGTGTTTTCACTCATTCTTCTATCATTTATATTTCTTGGATGATATGGATTTCTCATTCTTTTGTTATTGTTTTTTTTATAATTTTTGTGGTGTCTCCCGTAATGATTCGGCATTGTGCATCTTTTTAAAAGAAAAAGATTTAATAAAAAAATTTATTTTATCAAAGTAATGAATTTGTTAAAGTACTAACAAAAATTTAATAAAAATCTATAAAATTTGTAAGTAACATAAATTTATTTTGAACATAAAAAAATTAATAAAACTTATTTTAATAAGAAAAAAAGAAAATGTCTTGTATCTGTCATTTATCAAGTTTTTGACAATGGAAATAAAAAGATAATCTAGATTTTTATAATCATATTTGATGAGATTTTTATTACTTCTTATTTCACTACTTAGTGTAATTGCAAGTAAACATAAACCAAAAAAAGTCAATTACTGTGACCAAAGAAGACCAGTGTTTTTATTTAATGGAATGCTTGGAAGTACAATAAATGCAAATTTAAATATTCCAGCTACTACAGTACTTCCTGAACATTGCCCAAGACATGGATCTGATGTACCACTTTGGATTTCTTCAGATCTTCTTAACCCAGTTATGAGAGATTGTATTCCTGAATACCTAACTATGAACTACAATAATAAAACACAAACAATGGAAAATATGAAAGGTGTTAATACGTATTATCCAGCCAATACTTCAGTTAGTGGAGTTGCATTTCTTACACCAAAAGACTCATTGTTTTCACAATTAGTTCGGGTCTATGCAGACATTGTTGATAACTTAGAAATGATGGGATATATTGACACTGAAGATCTTCAAGCAGCTGCATTTGATTGGAGATTTATTTCTCAA